AGTAGATTTCCTTTGCAAGCTCAATTATTTGTTCATAATTAATGAAAAACAATAAAAAAATTGTACCTGTAAAAAAAGACCTCTCACTCCATGCTACCTTCCCATTGGAACAATGTCAGCAATATGTTGGTGATTTATTGCTTTACCTGGTAACCTGATACTGCATGACACCCGTGTCAAGGCAAGATAAAATGTAGTCCCAAGAAAATTGATTAATGTCAAACTCAAACATGTGGATACATATTATATGGGTAAATGAAATAAACATTTTCAACAACCAAATGTTAGAAATGAAGTATGAGCTTACCTATGTACTTATGAAAGTAAAGGAGAGATTTTGTGATTACATTAGTTGAAAACTTGAAATACTGTGATTGACAGTAAAATAATGGGGGAAGTACTACCACCCCCACCTCATACCCTAACCACACATTTCATAGCTAACTGAAATAAATAAATAAATTTTGTGAAATCAAACTTGACCAACAAAGAGGCAGAAAAGTGCAGTCGAGGCAGTCAAACGTCGGTAAATTCATTTGTGAGCCAATCAAAATTAAGATCATTCATGAAATGAAATCTAGGTCTATTCATAGAATAATTATTGGCAAATATCAGTTAGATTAACAACTTCTAATATACAGAAAATCCATTGTGTTTTGGTACCATTACGTTCCAACATTTCATCTGCTATTCAATATTGCTTTCATTATGTGGAATAGACATATTTCAATTTTAGGATATTATATTGATGATAATTATATTAATTTTTAAAGCACAGGTAAAAAAACTGTTTACAAGACTGTGTTGTCCTTGCTCCACTAAAGTTGTTTGCATAATTATTCACTAATACGCATGGAATGCATTAAGGTTATAGTCTGAATTCAGTTTTGTGAGGTACTTCATTTACATTTAATAGAGATATTGATTGCATAACTCTCTAAGTTAGAGTTGTAATTATAAATCACACTTATTTAATATACAAATGGGGCTGCCATTGTTCATACCACTTTTATCATAGCACATGCTCTTTTGCTGTAGCCACAGCTAACGATATGATGTAGAGGAAACTTTGTCAAGACAGCATATTCTGCTTATGACTGACAATATGATGTAAAGCAACATGTTGCCAGGGTAACATATAGGCTGTTATCCCCATTCATCATTTTTTGACATGCTGTCAGTTTGAGTTGGGCAGACATATCTATATATCGATTTATGTATCATGTAGTCTGCAATACTAAGTTTATTGTAGACCCTTGTTTCTATTGATTCAATGGGTAAATAGAATTTTAAATGGTTTAAAGTTTTATAAGTGTGTTTTCAAATAGCAAATGCTTCTGGATCCAATGAAATTGGCCAGATCAAAGTAGAGCATGAAGAGAGCTAACTTTTGATGCATCACTGGTCATTATTGGTCAAGCCAATTCAAACCAACATGTTGGTTTTGGTGTTTACATTTGCTTGCTGGTCGCTGACAGCTTTAGTGATAATCATGGTAATTTTTAAAGCCAATTTGAAACTAGTGGAGTATGGTTGCCTTGAAATAAATCATGCCAATTCAGTGTGTATTAGTACTGTAGATGTTTTCCATTTATTATTTGATATACAATCATTTGTAGCTTATTTGTATGAGCTTTATATATTCACAACTGTGATTTTGCATTCACATGCTTCCATGGCTGGGAACTACAATTCTCTGAGACTCCCTAATTCAAATACTTATCAAGTATTCCCTTACATTTACTGCTTTCACCTCATCTAGGTGAATCTAGATTGGTGGGGTCCAAGGGTCCGGTGTTGGACCCCCCATTTTTTTCAAAAATTATCTTTTCTTTAATACTGTATGAATGTGTATGGATCGAGGGGGAGATTCAGATCTCTTTCCATTTTTTTCTAAAATTAATAAATCCAAATGTCCTTACATTACCATATTATATCAAAAAGAAATATTAGATGCCAGTGTTTTTATTTGATTGGGCTATTAACTCTACATACAGGGTCAGGCAATGTGACCAACCTTGTAACAATAAAGTAACCATCAGAGTTTCCATACCATAACTTCTAATATTTTGTGTATGTTATTGAAATCTGGCAGTTGTTAAGTAAACATTACAAGTCTTTTGTAGATAAGAAAAATCAGATTTGTCACTGAATATATATGGAATTAGTGTGTTGACTGCTTCAAGTGAAAAGTGATTTTTATGTTATGATTAAAAATACTTTTTGTCATCTGAAAATTTTCTAATTTCATTTATATAGCCTCTAAAACCTTTTAAATAAATTTCACATGTTTTTCTCAGTAAAACTTTACATATTATCTGTTATTTTCTCTGTCCAAACTCTATATGAACTCAGGCGATTTGACCAACCTTGTAACCACTGTCCAAAAAAAAATGTAAATAAATATCAATTACCATTTTTTTGTATCTAAAATGACTGCAGATTGTAACAGAAAATTAAAATTGTTTATCCTAAATGGCTTAAGGCTTATAACAGTCTACATCTGTTGATACTTGATTCTATTGTTTTAGTACCCTTTGAACCATATCTAACTAATATTTCTGTCACACTTTTTAAATCACTTGGCAAGCATGTAGCTCATGTTACCTTATTGAATGGCATAATGCATAAACTATTCATGAGCATACTACATGAAGTATTTTTATTAATTTTCCTTAATTAACCTAATAAAGTTTTTATTTTTATATTTTATAGCAATAAATAAAGAATACTTGAAAAACAAGAAATATAGTACTTACTTTTGTCCTTCTGTTTTTATATTTTAGTTACCTTTCTAACAGTACCTTTCATCAAAGTTAGTACTGTGTGGGACACCAGAAGCTCTTGTAACATGGACTTGTTACTAAATTAATTTTTCATTCTTTAGAAGTTAGAATTTTCATGAGAGATTTTTTGTGTATTTGTCTGAAATAAGCAAAAGTGCAATTGGTTTTACTATGTTAGTAATGTCTTTAAAAAACTTTGAAAATAGACATTCTGTTTATGAATGCTATGATTTTATTTAAATATGATTATCAGTTATTATAAATATTTAAGTTTAATTAAAAAATTTTAAATGTTTGTTTTTAACTGTTTATTTGCATATTAATCACACTACTAGAAGTAAAGATATAAGCTCTGAAATCATTTGTAAAAAGGTAAATTACTGCATCTAGAGTGGAGAAGTTAAACATTGTTACTTGTTAACATAGTAATACTATATTATCTCAGTAGACTTTCTGGTTCTATATCTTATTCATTCCATTATGCTTTTCAAACTTAAGATAACATTATAACTATCATAAGTTTTGTTTTATGAAATAAATTGAAATTATTTTAATTTTTATATTGTTTAGTTTTAAGTTTAGGCTACTTGAACAATATAAAATTACTAGGTTTTTCTTTTGGCTAAGCACTTATTTGATTATTATGATTATTCATTTCCTTTGGTTGATTACAGAGAGTAATTGTGTAGGTATAAATACAACACTTCAGGCCCCATCATTGTTGTAAGCATGCTTATAAACACATAAAATAATACTGAATTTCTGAAACAACAGGTCTGAAAAAGTGTACATAGTATTGTTGCAACAGGTGATTGATAATTAAATAAATTTTATTGTTACCCAGTTTTAAACTGAAGTTGCCCTTCATGTATGATAAATTTTTATGTACAAAGTTTAGGATTAAAATAACTTAATTCTTGCACCTGAACTCTGAAGACATGACAAAATGTTTTTGAGACAAATTTTAAAGTCTATTTTATATGTTATATCTAACTGTATTTCAACAATTTTAACTCAAAACATTTCAGAATCAATATTTTGTCAATTTCTGACACTTAATGTAATTTGCAATGAAAAATTTTTGATTTTCATTTCTTCACAGCTGAAAAGAGTTTTGCCTCTAAACAAAACAACCCACTATTGTTTTTGTTTTAGAATTTTTCTACTCATTCCAAAGAATAACTTTGTTTTTGCTAAGAAACTATCACTTCTTGAGAATGCATATATCACCCATTTCTTGATTTTCAAGTGTTTCCTATAGTTTTTATACAGGCCTTGGTTGAAAACTTGCAACGGTGCCATGTCAATGAGTGAAAATATGTGTTTGTATATAGTATCTGTTTGAAAGCTATCAAAATTTTCAGTTAGAAAACACTCAATAACCTAAACTATGGTGAGCATATATAGTTTACAAATGGGTTGAATGTGTAACAAAGGAAACTGTTACAAGTTTAACACAGTTACCAATATACAAAGTGTGAAGGTTTTTGTCATCATCAGGTACAAGTAGTTTACTTAGACACAATTTCAGTCATGGTATGTTTTAAATAAGAATATTATCCTTATTGGTGATAGTAAACTGTTCTTTTTTAATAATTTTCAATTTGTATGATTTACTCAAGACCAGTGGGGCATTACTGCATAAACTTAAGAAGCTAGTGCACCTTTGTCTTTTTTTTCCTAATGCTTGCATGGTGGAATGCATACTATTTCCAGAATTCTGTTCTAATTTGATAATCAGTTTATTGAGCCTTTCAATTAATTAATTAGAAAATGCTACTAATTATTGAGTTTGAAATAGCAAGCCTATTTTACTAAAAACAAGATTACAATTTCCATTCCCTTAAGAATAAAAGAAAAACTACATTTTACAGTTATAGAACAAGTTATACAGATTACAGTGTGAAATAGTCCAATGTTTGAAGATTTCTTAAGGTTGATGATGTTGATGTTTGTTTCTTTGTTTAAAAATACATTTTTACTTTTTAATAATTTAAGGTAATCAAGGGGCCTGTTGGTCCATCTAGGCTGTTCCATCCACTTTCCTAAACTGTCAAATAAAACACTCAAAGCCAGCCTTTATTTAAATACTTATCAAGTCTTCCCTTAAATTAACTGTATTTACCACACCTGAAGGCAAACCATTCCGAGGGTCAATCACTTTGCTAGAAAACTTATGCTGTCTTAGCTGAAGATGGCTCCTATCCTGTCAGAATTTGGATTTCTATCCCTCTAATCTTACCATTCTCACCACTATTAATTATGAAAAAAGATGGTGCATCAATGCCATCATGTCATCTTAAACACCTCAAACAGATTCTCTTTAACTGTTCATTTTTGAAGAGAAAATAATAAGAGATCTTAACCTATCCTCATATGACAACCTCTCCATCCCATTGACCATCCTATTAGCACTCCTCTGAACCATTCGCAACAATTCAATGTCCTTTCTAAGTTAAGTTAAGGAGCCCACAGTGCTTCACATACGGCCTAACCAATTATGACCCATAGAATGACATTATAATATCAAGATTTCAGTAGATACAACTTATGTTTTTGTTTAGCTGCGGTGTTTGTAAGGACTTTTTGTTCACCAAATTAAATCAAATTGTCATCAAATCAAATAAACTTAGTTAAGTTTGCTGTTTAACAAGCATGTAGTTCACTGCAGAATATTCTGATGATTTAGATCTTCATTCTATATTATATGAAACTTATCTCACCACTGTTCAAAATAAATTCAAGAAAACAAGTTATAAAAGAACAAAATATAATGTGAACAGTTAAAAGGTTAGCAAAAATATGTAGTAAATGGATCACACTATCAGAAGTCTGGAAATTAGAGAAACTAGTTTTAACACATTTATATATCTTCTTTATTCTATTCAATTAATAAAGTGGTTCAGTTATTTATGGGCACCTTTTATGTTATATAATTATAAGCACAGTTGTTACAGTTAACTTCTCTAGCATTGTGCTCTTCAGGTTTAAGTTCACCTAACAAATGTAACTTCTTTTCTCTTTGTATTCTTCTTCAGAAATGTGTTGCATTGTGCTTGAAATCTCATCACTAAAAACTTAATATATAACTAGTACATAGTTTTGTTTTCACAAAGAGTTAAGAACACAAGGATCTTGCAACTGACTGTTATAATCAGTGACAGTAACATTTTAAAATTCCAGACATGATTGAGCAAATATAATTACATCTCTTGTTTATTTGTATTCTTCAGCTATGCCTTCCCAGTTGAAGGCATTTCCTTATGCTTTAGGTTATGAAACATAGTTTATTAAGACTGTTAATGAAACTGGTTTATCTTTGTTCTTAAAGTTACATATTCTTTAATAGAGGCAATATTAAGAAGTTAGAAGTAAGTATTTTTGGATCACTTAAAATTGGCAAGTGTATAAATGTGTTGTTCTGTTTCAAGATATAATTGAGTCTTGTTTTGGATTTCCCATACTTCGAGAATTTCATACTCTTGTGTGTGTTAGCATGGTTTTCTGAACAAGTAATTAAATGAGAAACAATGAAAGTTTGGTATTAACAGTTTTCTGAAGAACATTAAACTGCAAGATACTTGTTTATCCTATTTTATGACAATGTCTCTATGGTCATGTCATCAGAAGTATCCAGTATTAATTCATGTGCTACATTCTTGCTTATGCTTAATCAAATGATTATGCATGGAAAAGAATAAGATTTATTGCTTAGATTAAAAATTAATGTTTTTAATTTGCTTGATCTGTATCAGTTAATCTTAATGAAATTGTATCACAATGAGAATTATTTGCAAAATAATTGATTTACTTCATAAAGGACTGTGCAATACATTATAACTATTTGTATTACAATTCACTTTACAGTAAGTGGGGTTAAAACATTTCCTATGAACACATTTTTCAAACAATTCTAAATAGTTTTTCTCTTTTTCTGACCAAAATTATTATTTAGGCACAAAGCCATAAGGTTTGTCATTTCCAAGATTTTCTTTTTTTTTCCTTTTAAGGATGCCAACAGATACAATGGATGATATAGAACTAAAGAATATTGAGCTGCAGGTCCCTTTGATGAGGAATGTGTCAAGAAGTGAAACTTATACTCAGGTGAGTCATAATAGTAAATTAGCTGTAATTGAAATTAGTCCTTTTATACTTGTCCTTATATTGCCAAAGTTTTGGAATGTGTGAGTAGATAACTTTCTAAGTACTTTTATTTGCCATATCACATGAACTGAAATGTTTCACCAAAGGTATTAATATAATAAAACACAAAAACTTTCAAAAATATTTTATATATTTCTATTCAGAGTAAAGATAAAGAGCATCATTTCATTCACTTAAAAGTTATTAGAATCTGTGATTGTTTTTTCAGAAAATGTGTCATATTTATAAACATGAATGTCTGTCAAGCACAGTGCCATTTATCAAAACTGTAGCATTACTAAAATAAATGAGCAAATCAATCCTTGATAAAAACTGATGCCATATCATATGTGTGTATGATTTAATTGTGATTATTTTATTAATGTAACTAGACTTCCCAAGTTAAGTACTACTAACTAATGAGCTGTGACATGGTTAGCATTGCAAATGATAAACTATAGGAGCTGTTTTAGATATTAGTTATATGCCACTGTTAATGTACCTGTTAATACACATAAATATAAATGATCCTAAAAGTGACAGAATTCTGCCAAGTCCTAAGAGTTATAAAAATATTCCTAAATGGTTTGATAGAGATTCCTAATTTCTAAGCTTGTATGGGATATCAAGCATTCTCAAATGTAGTTTTAAAAGTGAAAAATGTTTTTTCCTGAGAAATTTAAATGTATGGGTAGTTCTTTAAAGTTAACATGTGTTGGTATCAACTTGTAATATTTAGCTTTCTGATGAAATAAATGGATATGATTAATCCAGACATAGAAATAGCTGCTTGAAAACAGAAATTTTAACTATTTTAGATGCAAATATTGAATAGACTCTTGGTAAAGTTAACAAAGCTGAAAGTGATTTATGTGAACAGTTTGATTTAAATGGTGCATTTGTGATTCATGAAAGTCAACTTTGTGTTTAGATTTGAGTCATGTTCAAGCTGATTAATTATTTTTAATTGAAGATGAATTTTCTCATTATATAGAAATCTGCTATTCTTATCAAATTTGTTTAGATGTTTTTATGTAATTCAGTTTAAAAAAATTCCAAAGATGTGGTATTATCATTGATTTGTTATTGCGTATAATTTAAAATAAATCTTTATTATTAATTAATTTGTTATAATATTTAAACTTTTTTTGCTTTATAAAACATTGAGGATGAAAAAGTTAAATGATATCTTTAGAAATAAATATTCCATTTAAGGAGGACAAAATTGAGACAGAGTGGGGTACAATGTTTGTGGCTGTTCAAGGAGAGCGAAACAAACAGGCAATAATCACTTACCATGATCTCGGATTGAATCGTAAGTGCATTGAGAACTTTTAATTTGTCATAAGCCTTCAAGCAGTGTAAACCTACCAAGGACAAAAGTATTCAAGTATCAGTATATTGAATATGTAAACTTATCCCTTATATATAGAAAGTTTATTTCATATGCTAAGTCTTTCTCATCTCATTTTCAGAATGTAATTGACAGTGTCACCACTTTTGTTAACGTATGTGCTTCCATATGTGATATTACTCAACTGTCCTATTGTTCTTTTGCATGCATCCTGTACATGAATGATAATGGTGAGATTACACATCATAAGACGTTCATACTGTGCAATGTTTTTTTTTCATTCTGGTCATATTGTTTTAGAAGAACTGATTCACATGTGCAGCTTTATTTTACCTTTAACTTTGTTTTTTTCACATTATATATTATTTCTTCATCATATGGCACATTATTGGTGAATATTTCTAATATTCAACAACAAATTCCTTTTTAATAAAAATTCATCAATTCCTGTTACTTCTATTATTTCTGCCAAGACGTGTGCATTTCCCTATTCCAGTCTTCATTTTCTAGGTCATTTCCTAAGCTAACTTTCGGTTAATTGTAATTAAAACTGTTTCTTCCTCTTTCCTATTATTCTTTTCCTTGAACCTCCTATAGTATTCTGGAAGTTGATGAATTGCCTTAACTCTGCCTTTTTCTGAGATTTTACTTAGTTACATTCAAAATATAATTGAGCTATTTTACTATCAATGTTTGCCAATGAAATCAGCATTAAAATTTACATTATCATTCAAAGCTTTATATTATCTAAGTTTTAATTCCTTTATTTCAAAAGAAACTACAAAGAAAAAATTTTAAAGTTCAATTTTATTCTCATGTGATTCACAAGTTCACAAAATATTAACTTTGTGTCTCATTAACTTGAGAATGGCTTCCTATACACTATACTTCTATGTATGGAGAAGAAACTAGTTAATTACTCTGTTTACACATTCTTTTTTTCAAGCTCCTTAGGGCAGGTTGAGAGAAAGGAGAAATAAATTTCACTGAACTCATGACAGATGCCACACCCACTTGCTACACATAGAATTGCGATTTCTCAGCCAATTATACTTAGTTGAGCTAGATGTTTATAACCGATGGAAAGACCACATTTTACATATGATCTCCCAGTAGTTATTTTAAGATGGGTGCAAAGAATTTTATATAAAACTAATCAAATCTCTCTTAGCATTGTTTCTGCTTATGTCCTTGCTGACACTTTAGCATCATTTCTCATCTAGAAATGCATTAGTTAGATAGACAGTTACATTATATTTAGGTTTTAGTTTTATATCTAACTTAATTATGTGCTATTTATGTTTTAACATGCATATTTGAAAGGTTTAATAACTTTTCTTATATAAGCCATCATCTCTTTGGTTCACAAAGTTAGTATAATATATGAATGGCACAACATTCTGCTTAGGGCTAAAGTTTTTGTGCCCACGATACTGTAATATTGGCTGGGGACACCCATTAATGTGTGTTACAATAAATAACAATGCTAAAGGACAGGAAAGGATAATAAAGCATTAAAATTAATGATATGCAAAAATGTGGATACAAGTAATTAAGAATATAACCAAATGAAAATGTTTTAAGATTATTTTATGAAATATTAAAAATTAAAAGGTATGTACATTTTTTTCTGTGTCTGAATGTTAAACATTTCATTGTATTATAGTATAAGTTGATGATAACAGCTACAGTTAGTAATATTGTAGAGAAAGTGAAAGTAAATATATATGAACATTTATCTTAAATTAAAAAAACTTTTGGTATTCACTTATTAGGTTTTAGGGGTTATGCAAATGGAAATTGAAAACTATAAGATGGAAAAAGGTATTTTATATCTGTGTTTTTATGTTAGTTAGGTGAGGTGCTACTTGGGTATAGATTTAGGGTTAAACCATTCTTTAGTATTTTCTAAGTTTACCTGCAGTGGTCTGAAGATAGAGAGAGAGACTGTGTGTCTTCCTCCTTCATATAAATGTATACTGAGGTTGATATTCTTATCCATACTTAAGTGACTTGAACTAGTTTTTTTGGTTGAATCGTATGAGTACGTATGTTCACAAAATTTGGCAGACTTTTAGTAAATGTTAGGAGTCTTTTGTACACACAAATTCTGATACAGTTATTTACCTCTTCTCACAGTTACAGCTATTCTCAATCTAACTGCTTTCTAGTGCACAAACGTTTCCTTGCCACTAGTCATAAACTCTCACCTGATTTCACATGCATTCTACGTGGTTCAGCTGCATTTAAGTATGCAAGTTAGCATGCAACAACCCTCCACCAGTAGGAGTGCAACACACTTTCCTATTGCAGCTGACTCCCTCTATGCAGTTGAACCAAAACTTTTTAGTTTGGTATGACAGTGTTAAGACCTAGTGCTTGATTTCAGATGTTTTTTTCTTTAGTGCATTTTGAAAATATTCAGTTATTATTTTTAGAATTTCAAAGTATTGTTTATAATCCACTGTCAAGTTGGATTTTGTTATTTGATTCTGAATTCTGTTTCTCCCTCAATTACCAGTAGTCAGTCAATATTTTTTAATTCGTAATTTACTATGATGACTAAAATGGCTACTGACAGTACCAGCTTTCAACAGTCCCTGACAACAACTGGAGGTGTGGGGTTATTGGTGGAGGAAGTGTCGGCAGTAGTTCGTCAGGAAATGGCTTCTTTCATGCAGGCTAAGGGATCTCCTGATCTACAACCATTTCTTCCATTACCTGAGGACTTTTATCAAGACGATGTGGACTTAGCTTCCTCCCCATTCCTTTGCTGTGCAGTCACATTCTTAGCCTGTTGAAGCACTTAGACCCCATTCACAATTTTTAGACTTGATATCACAGGTATGTTGTTGTTGTTTTTCTTTGTCACCCTTGTCCTTTGTTCCCTCCACTTCCTAATTAACTGCAACACCTAGTTCTGAGTTTTTACTCCCCATAACCCTCCCTCACCAGATTTTGGGGTACATGCTCAAAGTTTTGCAGATCAATTACATGCAACAGTGAATAAGCTTCACCCCCACATATTGTAGAGGATGATGCACTTGCATATCATCATTCAGCAAATCCTTTCTTGATGGACAACAACACTCCTTGATTATTTGTCGTCTGAGGCTTTCTGTCGTTCTCCCAAAGTTTTTTTTGACAGAAGCCTGTATCCACCTTCACACCAACATGTCCAGATTGTCTTATCTGCTCTTTCCCTCCACACTTGGCTCCTGTGTTGCTGGTATCTCTTGGGCCAGGAGGCTTTATTGACACTTGTGTTTCACCCAACATCCTTGCAAGATCTTTGATCAGCCCCTTTTCAGAGAACTACGATCTTTAGTTGGTTGATCACGCCATTGGTCTCGGGAAGATTTAGGTCTTCACATCAACCTTTTGGTATTCCTTGCTGTTTGTCGGGTGATGGTTTATTTTCTGTCATCTCTGTGAGGCATGGCATTTATGATTCATTCTGTCAACTTGACAGTTGCCTCTTACTTCACCATTCAAGAGAGCACTTTATCCCGATCTTTATGTTTTTGCACTCTAGATCTCCTTTTCTGGGCTCAGAGACATCAAATTCGTTTGCTGGCTTGTCACATACTGGGTGCCCTCATTCTTGTTGTGGATCATCTGTCCTGTCCAAGTAAGATTCTATCCACAAAGTGGTCTCTCAACCCTAGCTATTCTGATGGCTATGTTTTCAGTTGGATACTTCTCAGCTAGGTGCAGTTCCACATCCTTTGGCTTTGGCCATGGATTTGCTCAGCCAGGATTAGAAGGACCTTTCCTCTATGCATATCATGGCGTCCATCTTCTATCCCGAGTAATTACTTTCATCCAATCCACTCTGTGTAGGGTCCTTCTTGTGGCTCCTTTCTGGCCAACTCATCTGTGGCTTCTGTCCCTTCTCCAGGAACAACCTACATTACCTCTCCCTCTCTCCTGGTTCCTCCCCTGGCAACCTCATTCAAGTATAGATTTTGTCCAGTTCTTGCGAGGGGATCAGGACAATCCACACATGTAACATCCCTGTTGTCTCTCACTGACCATTCCTCATCCATGTTTGTGTACCAACATAAGTGGAGAGTATTCCTTTATTAGTACATCTGGCAAGGATTTCTCCCCTTATTCTCCTCCCTTTCCTCAGATATCTGTTTTTGCATGGTTGTTTGACAAGGATCTGTTTTTCGACCCTTGCAGGCTATAGGGTGGTTCTGTCATCTCCCCTCATTTTTGCCATGTATTTTCCTCTCCAGTTATTTCCCTTTCTACCACATCCCATATTTACTCCCACTCTGATCCAGATCATTTCTTGTGTCTGGTCTGTGCTTTATGGTATTGTGTTGTGCACAACATCATTTCCATGGCTCTCACTCCCCTCTGTTTATCCATTGGAATCCATCCATTTCTCATGATATTTCTCCTATCACCCTTACCGATTGGGTTTATCAGGTTATCCATATTGCATATTGATCCCATTCTCCTGAATCTTGCCATTTGTTATGTGTATCAGCCCTTCACCTCTCAATGTCCTTGGTTGCTCATTTCTGTCGTTATTTGGAGGAGATTATGCAGCCTGGCATTTGGACCACTCCCCACATTTTGGTGTCATGCTACTTGCACCACCTGGCAGTTTCCTGCTGAGCCGGATATCATCTTCCCCATTTAGCCATTCTCCATACAGCAGTACAACTCTGAGTGGATAAGTTATTTTTTTTCTTTTGTTTTTGTTATAGATCCTGCTCTGTGGTGAGTGGTGGCTGTCCTGGTATACTTATATCTAGTATCTGCACCATGAGATCTATAAGACTGCTTCCAGGTGGCTCATCACAATATATTGTGTCATAAATATGTTTGTATTGGACTGTACACTCATGGACTAACATGTGTAAAGCAGAATGAGATTGATGCCCATCTCTAACGTTACTTGGATTGTCCGAATCGGGAATGGTGTGCTTTTCAAGATAGGGTTT